GTTGGCATTATATCCTGAGATCCCTATACTCTTTCCATGGTTAGAGTTCAAAATCATCAAGACCAAGTATATGGATCTAGGCTTTGGTTTAGTGGAAGCTGAGTATCAATGGCATGGAATTAAGGGAAATAGCATCACTTAGGGGTCTCTGATAACAGGAAGGAATATTAAGAAAACATTCTCACTCCTGATATTTATAATTAGCTGATACCCATTTTAAATAGTATACATAGATATAAGCACCTCCCAAGTTTGCCAAGATCATTTTGCATCACAGATTAATATCATTACTTCATAAAAGATAATTTCCTTTAAAGTACAGCAGCAGTAATAAAGGGCCTTAGTGACTGCAGAAGCCCCCTATCATCTAATGACTCATCTATGCTACACATTTTACTTGTATGACTGACTCTTCCTTCCATCACAGTATTTTTGATTCTGTCTGCTCTGGCTAAACCAGAAAGAAACAATACAGTGATGATATGAGTGAGCTAATCATGATGATTTTTGTGTTTATTGACTGTTTGAGATACTTAGAATAGATCTGTGTGTCTTAAACCCCAGGCAATAAGTTATCCTGCAGTTCTGTTGTGAGGTTCAGCAAGATCATTCTTTTGAGTGTCACTCTATTTTCAGTGCTAGCCATGAGCATTTTATTAAAGGAGTCAGTGGATATTGGTCATGATACATACAAAGAGTTATGCTGCAGCAGAGTATTATTTGATGGCTAGTGAAACCATCTGAGGAATTTGCATTTAGTTTTCTATGGCATTCTGCAAACATAAGGTAGGATTAGTAATTTTACTTGCTTATGTTTAGCCATGTCCCAAAAGAAAATATATTTAAGAAATTGATAATTAGGCTGACCTAGGCATGGTATATGTCAGCAACTTTGTATCTAGGAAATAAATTAGTTGAGAATTTATGTCCTCCGTAACACTTAACAGTTATGTTTTAATAATTAATACCACTTTTAATAAAAGGCAGAAAACAAGAGACAGTAAAGGCACATTATGAAATGTAACATAATAATGAGACCTGGTGGTAGAAACTGTCTTGTTTGTGTCTTGCTATAACCATCAGGCTATACCTATTGAGGCAATTTTTACTTCTATGTCGCCATTGTGCTTTGTGTCTAAAACACACATTCCTTGGAAATGCAGTATTGTAGAATCAGTAACTATTAAAATAGATATTCTCTCCCATACTTTGAGGGGATAGAATGGGAGACGTTAATGTAATGCTTGGTTCACCTTTGAGGACAAACCTCAAGACCTTGAAATTCCACAGTAGTGTTCTGAGATTTACTTACTTGTTTGAAAAATGCCTGTAGGTCCATGACCTGAGTAGAAAGTGTGAAAATTTTAAAAGACAGAGACAAAATTTGAAAGACTTATATTGTTTAAGGGAGGACATCTAAACTATATTATCATGAGAAATTTCTAATATACACCACTCCTCAACTTTAAACAGTCTTAAAGCAGCACTTTTCTGAAACTACTGTGAATGTGCAGCTATAGTACTAATGCTTTTTAAGTAATTATACTGTCACTATTAAATAATAAATAGCCAAACAGCTACTCTTACCAACAAGTTAAACTTCATCATTACAGGAATTGTCATAGCCTGAACACATTAAACTGAAAGAAGAGGGGAAAAATAATAACTGTGAGACCTGAGGAGGAGAAGTAACTGGCAGGATCACATTTTCCAACAGAGGAGTGTGACCCTTTGCAAAATTTACTGTAATCTGCTTTTTTGCACAGCTGAAGTTAGCTTGCTGTTTCTGTTAGAAACGGGGTTCTTTACACTATCCAAAGCAGTGTCTGCTCCAACTTTCTGTGAGCCATGACTGATGACAGGTGACCATATGATCCTCCATGTTAATCTCATTTATAACCGAGAAACTAGCATATGTGTACAACGCCTAAGTCACTCTATTTAGGTGTACCTAATCTCTTGTCTTAATTTAGTTTACTGAGGTCAAAAAATTGGATTAAATAGTCCCCCTAATTCTAACAGTGGATTAACATGGTAATTAGACTAATGATATTTGATAACGTCAGTGCTATAAAAGTCAAGAAACTTGTTTAATAGTAATAAATTAAACAAATCATCTTGCTTTCTTATGACATGCTTCAAAGTAAAGAGAAATATGCCTTATGCATTTCAGAAATGAAAACCAATAAATGATACCAAAGTATTGCTTCTATACGTCGAAATTTAGGAGCCTAAAACTTCTGAGGAATCAGTCATTTCTCATTAGTTTTTATGTTATATACACTTTTAGATATGCAAAACCACATAATTCAGCTTTCTATATATCACACTAGAAAGAGTAGTGATTACTATAGATCACTGTGTGCAAATGCTTCTTCTTCAATACACTGTTTTCAGTCTCTTGGAGCCTTTCCAGCTAATAGTTTCCAGTCTGCACATTTACCCTTATATGAATATTCACTGCAAAGTCAGTGGAAGATCTATTTAACCATTTTTTTCAGGTCAAGGGCAGTAAACATACCAAATAAATTCTCTACTATGTAACTGTTTTGTATGTAAGCTTGTCATGTGCTGACAATGACATCTGTTTGAAAATTTAATTGTGAGATATTGCTGAAATAAAAATAAAAAACCACAGAAAATACTGTATTTAGAGGAAATGCTAGTCTTGAATGCTATTAATAAGATTTTTGTATGATTATTTTTTTTAATCCCTCAATATTTATATAGGTTCACAGTAAAATTAGTCCTGAATGCTGTTGATTTTAAAATAGCAAGTTTTCAAAACTAAGGGAAGTGGTTAACAAATTCAACTGAAGTGAAAAGAGAGGTATAGCAAAGAAAAATAAAACAAACTAGTAAAAAGGTTATTTAACCATACACATTAAAAGAGAATAAGCAAGGAATGTTTATGTACACCATGTGCTGAATTTGAGAACACAAACTAAGTATGCCTTTATAATAAAGGGAAAACTGCCTCTTATTCTTTTTCTTTTTTTTTTTTTTTAATAAGAAGAATGGTGACATGCAGTGATTAAGAAATTACATCACTCTTGACAAGAATGGATTATGGAATGGGATATTTAAAATGGAAAATCAGAATGGGATGCAAAGTGCACTGAGAGACTAAACCACGAAGTTTGTGCAGAAATGAGAATTATTAACTTAGAGGTATACTAGTAAGTTTCTCAGAAATCAGTGCTGGAATTTCTCTGGATTCCATATTTTCATCAATATATTGCATGAAGTAGGTAATTTCTGTAACACAGCTGCTAAGAATTTTCAAAGTATAAGAGGATCAGAAAATCCATAGTAGAAAAGGGATAATATATAACAGCATAAAGTGCAAGGAAATGCACTTTTTAAATACTAGCAGAACTTAATGCCATGAACAGGGAATTCATCACTTTAAAAAAATAGAGAAGGAGTAAGTCATCGATGTGGCTATAAGATGCACCAGGAGAGAGATTTCTAAGTAGAAAAATTTTCCTGTCAGTGTCCCAGAGTTCAGAGAAACAATCTTTTAAGTACCACATAAAAAAAAAAAAAAAAAAAAAAAAAAAAGATTTATTGAAACTAGAAAAGGTCCTGAGAAAGACAACCATGACAATTAGAAGAAATGGAGAAAATGTTTATGTAGGAGAAAAAGTTGAGTGAATACCTGATTTTGTTGATAGATACCAAGGAGGGAAAAGCCATATCTAAGTAAATGACAATGATGTCTTTAAGACACATGTATATAAACTAACCATGACTAGGCTTAGTATACAAATTAGAAAACAGTTAAGACAGAAGACATTAATACAGACAGAAGACTTAAACTCTAGAATATCCCTCCAGTGGAAGCTGTAATGACCACAGATAACAAGTTTTAAAATTAGATTTAGTAATTAAATGGAATTACTTACATAATTGTGTGGTTCCTTACTAGCAGGGGGCTAAACTAGATAAACTGAAACATCCTGGGACTGTAATCTATATCATATGTTGGCTATTTCATTTTAATCATGGTAATGCAAAAACTGAATTCCTTCTAGAAGAATGGCATTATTGATAAAAAGCCCTCAAATGCCTGCTGAATTGTTTTCTGTCCTGTTTTTTACACATTATTTAATATGCTTGTCCCTTCCAAGTATATTTTCTCCTGACTTATTCACAAAGACTTTATGCCTCTTGCAGTTAATTTGCAGAATTAGGCTACCTATTAAAGTAGCTCATATTCCTCATGGTGTTTTTTCCTTTTCAGTCAGTACGTTGCTCTAGTCACCAGCACTGTGAGGTTCTCTTTTCGCCATCTCCAATCTTATCTAATGAAAGCAATTTTATTTTATCTGCATATCTCAGCCACTTAATATTCTATATCTTCCCTGAGCCATTAATGAATATATAAACCCTGTGACAGTATGGTACATCTCACTGTCAACCTTTTATCCTGTTCTGAAGTGACCATTTTATTCCTTCTATTTCAGTTAACATACCGAAATCAGAACCTAGTCTTTCATCTAATTTAACAATCATTTCACCACTTGCTAATTGTAACCTCAGGCAGTACCTCACATATAACCTTCTGAGTGCTTAGTTTGCTCAGTAAGCCTATAATAAGAATCTGATTAAAGTTCTTGGACCTTGATCTGAAAAAGTCAAGATGCTGAGAATCCAGCGGGACTGTGAGTGATGGAAACATACATATAGCTGTTAATATGCCTGTCTAACATTTTGACATTATTTACACCATAGAAGCCAGGTACTCAGAATTCTATATAGCATTTAGTTGGATTCTGGTAATCTCAAGCTTCATTATCCATAGGTTTTATTTCTGTATTGACAGGCTAAAGGATGAAAAAATACCATTGAGAGTCTTCACTTGGAGCAGTTCTAAAACATGTGAAGGAGGATGCCAAAAAGTGTGGAGATGAAGGGAAGAACATCAGAAAACAATTCCAGCATAGGAAATAAGACACAGATATTTGGTGTGAAATATATTAGACAATATATGTTTCTTTAAGGTGGTAATGTTAGTTTATTACATAGAATATGCTGCTTCAAATGACAGAAATTTATCAGTTATTTATGGGGAAATATATCTGCCACTTGGCTCCTAAAGGAACTAAAGAGTATTTCTAGGTTTCCTACCTGTACTTCAAACCTCTTTGCTCCAGATCCAACTTCTACTTCCTTTTTATGTGCCTTCTGTCCCACAGTGAGACAATCAAAGCCTCTGGGCCAAAAGGGATTTGTGTCAGCCTTTAATTATGTCCCCAGTCTGAATGACCAAAGGGTCATGATCCAGGATTTATCACAGCATGTACATACCAGTTAGTCTAGACACAGCCTCTGAGAGTACAGAATGGACAAATTCTCATTCTCTAACTGAAAAACAGCACCCTCCTTCTTCAGGTATATCTCTGACTTCATTGACATTGAAGCAAGGTACTATGCAGTGTTAGGGATTAAAATCTAACCAAAAACCTGAAATGCTCTGCCTAATCACAATATACATCAAATATTTTCCAATTTTATGTTTAAAATCATTTACTGAAAATTTTAAACCATGTAAGTACTTACTACACACACATAATATTAAAAAATGCTGTAAACAGGTATCCAAAATAATTCTAATAACAGATTGAAATATTCTGAAACATATTACATATGCCTTGGATTCTCATAATACAACACATTTACAAAAAAAAAAAAAAAACAAAAAAAACAAAACAAACAGAAAAGACATGGACAACCTTTAAAATATAGAGGTTAAAGAACACACAACTAAAACTTGTATGTAGAACAATTTTAAAAGTAAGCGGTGCTGCCTCAGAAGGGAATATGGCAAGGGCAGTCAGGAAGGCCATTGACATACAGTCTCCCTTCTTAATTCCTGTGGAATCCCAGCAGCAATAAATGTGCTCTTTTTCTAGTATCCTCTGCATAAAAGAGGCAAACTCTATTTGGGTCTGGATGATCCTATACACAGAACAAAAGATTGCTTTACTCACATAAATATTCTGAAGTTGGCCTTTAAAAATTGAAATAGCAATTTGATAACGTTAAACTAAATAAAGTTAACATTGACTTCTGCTTCCTACTTTTCATTGTATTACAGCATTTGAATAATATTTCCTACATTTCATTTCAAATCAAACACATCAAGTTGATTTTTTTCTGGAAAAAGCATTTCTACTGAAAGACAACTCTCAAACCCTTTCTCAAATGTCATAAAATATAGGAATCTTATCTTCGAACTCTGGCGGGTATTTCAAATTTCAGTTCTCTGTTCTAAGAAGCAGTAGTTGTTTCTCTACAGATGAGACGGTTAGTATTTAACTGAATATCTCTGAAAAGATAACATTTCAGGGAAAACCTTGTTTTTAACCAAGAAATCACTGTCTTAGAAGAGCAACTTTTCTCCCTATGTTTGTTCCCATAAAAATCTAAGTAATTATCTGTATTTCAGCAATAACAAACAATTGTGATTTATAATTATCTAAGTCTGGGCTGTATTCACATTAGTAGTTTTATTGGGTGTGGCATTCAGCAGTTTATTTTGAGATTTTTTTTTCTGAAGATATTTTCACTAATGTTATAGAAATTCCAAGATCTCTATTACGAGTCTTTCTCATCTTTACTGTTTCCATTGTCCATTGTACAAAAGGAGACTACTTCTACTTCTTCTTCTTCTTCTTCTCTTCTTCTTCTTCTTCTTCTGTAGGAAAGGCATTTTCATTTTTCAGATTTTCAGAGTCATTATGTTCAATGTTATTTAAAGAAGTGTCACACTTCAGAAGTGTTTCAGAATGACAGGCTTCTGCTGGATCTGCCAACATGGGAGAAAATTTTTCTCCAACAATATGAATTAGGCTTATTCTTAGAGTTTGGCATATTTTTGGCTTTCTACTAGGTAGCTCACTATTTGTGACTATCACAAGATCACTGATTATGTGTTTGGATACCTTATTCTGACAATTGTTGACTTCCATAAGTTTTACATTCGTATCCTCTCTAACATGTAACTTCCCTAAATTGCTTGTGTCTTTCAGAGTTGAAGATGCAAGTATTCCAAAGTTACTAATAAAATCTAAGGTGTTACTAGCATAAAATCTATTTAAAATATTATTGACAATCTTATTGATACAGTTGTTCTTCAGAGTCATATGATTATTTTTGTCTGATATTAAATCTTCTCCTGACCACTGTAAATGTTCATTCTTTTTGGCCAACAAACATGGACCCAGCTGGTTCTCAATATCAGATGCCTTTTGGTAGGCATATCCTCTCTGTTCCTCATTAATTGGTGTTACTGTCACCATCAGTATTGGACAATGTTGACCACACATAGCATGGAGTTTATCCAGAGAATCTTCATCCTGAAGAGCACTTCTGTTAGGATTGCTAACACCAGTTGGCTGAGACTGTATGGGTTCCTCATTTGAAGGCTGTTCCAATGGATGCACCTTGTTATCAGGCAATCTAAACTCTACAGATGTAAAGGCTGGAAAATTGGTATCAGCCTGTGTGGAAAGATGTGTGGAAGCAGAACCTACCATGACTGATGGCTTGACCTTTTCTTTGTTTGCTGCAGGAAGGGAAGTGATCTTACCATTGTGGCCAGGTTTGCTTTTTGTAAAGTCATCCTGAAAAGGGTCTGAATCACTATTATGAGGTATATTGAAGTAGTTGCAAAAATTTTCAGAGGGTTTAGCCATTTCTTCAAGTTCCGAAGAAGAGATTTCCTTGAGATCTGGGTACTGATTCAGATTGCCAAAGTGCGAGTAAGGAACATCATCACTGTTAGTATCAAGGACTGTGTCTGTTGATGTATCCAAATTACCATACATTCCAATTCGTTCAGGTGAAGATATTCTTATCAAATGATTCTCTTTGAGAAGCCATTTGCCTTTATCTATCAATACTCCTTCATCTTCATTAGCTCGTATGCTAGGTTGACAATGTTGCTTTGGAGATTCCACTGAACAGTCATTAGTATAACTTGTTTCTTCTCTGTTAAGAGTAGGTTGTAGTGTTGGTAAAGATGTATTTTCTGGTTTTGATATAGTGTCATCTTTGTTTATGTTTGCTGGGAATTCTTGTGGTGGTAGTGAAGAATGTGATAATTTCTCTGCAGAACAAGACATAGGTTTTTGAGAAAAACAAACATTTTTTTCCACCACTGCAAAGTGGGATTCTTCAGTATCAGTTTTAAATACTTTTGACATATAAGGAAATCCTTTGCGAAAGTCAGGCTTAAATGAAGCTTCTGTCTTTCCATAAAGTCGTTCAATAGTTCTTTTTACATAGCCAGTATTATAATGTTTTTCAAGTACTGCTTCTTCTCCACTTTCATTGGTCAAATCACTGGATGCTCTAAAGTTATAATCACTTTCTTCAGTATCTGGTCTGTAATCTGACCAGTCTGAAGTAGCAGGACTTCGTAAGCATTTTTTTATCTGAGAAGAGTCTGAACACATTTCATTCTCCAGTTCTTCTTGCAGTTTCTGTTCTCCTTCACTTATATCACATTCTGTAATTTGTTTCGATTCATAACAAAATGATAATGGAGAGGCTGTGGATAATCTCTCAGAGGTTTCCTCACAAGTTTCTGCATCTTCCTTGTCCTCCTCTACAGAATCATCCTCATTATTATATTCCACAGAGGTTTCAGCAGCTAGCTTAAGTTGATTATTTGGGGTTTGGTCATTATCTGCTGACTTTGGATCAGCTTTCTCATCTTCACTTTTATCAGTAGTAACATGCATAATATCTTTTTCACCTTCTAACTCAGGAGTATCCTGATTAGAATTTACACTATAAACCGTTGAGTTAGGTTCTACTGAGGTTTCTGACTCCTCATTAGTGAATGATGTATCCACAGTTTTATCTTGAGTTTTTTCATACAGGCTATCAGGCTTTTCTTCATTTTGCTCTGGTAGCTCTATAACTGATGCAAGACTACAGGTATTTGAATTAGTATTGGCATATTGACCATCTAGCTGTGTTTTGGGAGCGCTCAAGACTAAAGTCTCTGTTTCTCTACAAAGGTCTCTCTGTATATCAAAACAGCTTTCTAATTCAGACCGGTTTAGAGCTTCTTCAGAATTTACACTATCCTTTGGAATTCCAGGCTCAATTGATTTTTCATGCAAATTTATACCATTATGAATTTCAGATATGGGCATATTCTCATGTGTGGAGTCCTGCTTTTTGAGTTCCCTACCAAAGTGTAACAAGTTATTTTCTCTTGATTGTTGAAAATGTAAGAACGCAGCCTTCAGTTCATCAACTTTTTCTATGACTGTAGTTTGTTTCAGAAATTGCAACTGTGTAAATATTTCAGAACAACTACAGGGAGTTTTCTGCATATCATCTTTGCTTGTCTCAATAAAATTCTCTCTTACATTGAGTATAAGTAGCCAAGCTAGGAGGACATTGGAGGAAGAAGCAAAAGCTGAAGGAGAAAGATCTGAAAGGCTACAAGCTTTCCCTATACATTCACCATGTTCTTTCTGGAGATCAAGCAAAGTGGATTGTAGTTCATGCAGCAACATGGTAGACATGCAATTATTCTGAACATCAGTTCCCATTTTCTCATTGACAACTGCACAATCAACTTGAACAGCAACCTCAGATTTTTTTCTTTGACATAGGATGGTATCTTGAATATCAACGTCTGACATCTTTTTATCATTGTCATGTGTTTCATGAAACAAGTGTAGTTTATCATCATGATGAAGTTCTGACTTTAGTGAATACTTGGATTCTTTTACAATAGTTGTATTAGCATGAATCAAAGAGTCAGGGTTTTTTTCACCCGAATCCTTGGCTGATTCTTCTAAAGACCCCAGTTCACAAATAGGCTTTAATGATTTTTTGGTTAGATTATGTTCAACCAGATAGTCTTCTCCAGTCACATGCACTTTATTTGTGATAAATCTTGTTTCTTTATCTACAGAAGTATCAGTATTTTCTTTAGAAAAATGACAGACATTGCTATTCTCTACATTACATTCTTTTTTATTTATAGGGGGTAAGACAGAATTTGGTAACAAGTTTTTCAGCCAAGTTTGGACATAGTTTTCTGGTGAATGTTCAACGACCTCCTCTTGAAAATCCTCATGTTTTAGAGCCTCTGGTGTAATGGCGCTCTCTGACGTATTTAACTTACTTGCACCTTTACTTAGATTATTTTTCATCCCCTTTTGCTTTTTCTCTTTCTTTGATGACAAATTTTCCAAAATATTCTTTTCTTTTTCAAAGTTAAGGTTCTTTGGCACTTCTGACAATGGATTTGAAATCAATGGTGACTCAGGGGTCTGTTCAAAAGAACTGGTTGTGAGATGTGTGTCCTCTTTCTCAGTACTTAGTGTATCCTGACTGTGTTCAGACTCATTGTTTGAATCAACTGTCATTAGACCATCTTCACTCTTTGCAGATGAAACACTATTCTTTTTGACTGACTTTAATTTTACCTTGGCCACCTTGTTGTTACTACTTCTTTGTTTTTTATTAGATGATAATTCATTTTTTTCCACTGAATCCTGGTGACAGAACTCATCTTCAGGACATATGCTTTTGTCTGAATTGACAGACCCATCATTGCTTTTTACAAAAAATTCTGTTCCCTTTTTCTGGGGCATTTCAGAATAATTATCCATAGGCTCTGTTGTGGAATCTTGTGTGGTTTTGCTTGTGATAGGCATTCCCTCATTTTTAATTATCCCTGAAATCTCTTTATGTTCTTGATTTTCATATGTACCTTGTTCTAGGAAGTTAGTCACTTTTCTCTTCTTCTTCTTCTTTTTGGTAGAAGAAGGTGCAGATTGGCTGTTATCATTGAGATGTGTTGTTGCAACAGATTCAGTTCTGACACTGATTTGATTCTCACTTTCAGTTACAGTAGGAAAGAATCCAGTTGTCGCATTTATTTTCTCAGTAGGAGATTTACTAGATGGAGGTACCGTCATCTTCATCTGGCTATGTCCAGAACAGGCTGAATGCACTGAATCTTGAGAAATAAGTAATAAATCAGAAGCTTTGCACCTTGTTTCTTCTTTTGACTGACATAACTCTGAATATCTAATGAAAGAACTCAGTGATCTTTTTATTTGTTTAATATCACATGACTCATAGATCTGGTCTGCTGACCCTGGCCTAGCTGGCTGGTGAATTTTTGATGATGGCATGAAACTGCTGATGTTAGCTTTGCAGGTTGACACTAAACTATTATATGTATCTTGCTCCACAACTGATTTCTCTAATATATTCTGTACCAATTCATCCTCGTCAGGCACTTCTAATGTCTTTCTATTTGTGGTTTCTATTAAATCATTACTTTTGCAGCTTACTTTAAAAAGCATTTCTTCTTTTACATTACCTGAAGAAAGCTTTAATAAATCATTGTCACTCATCTCACTAAACTTTGGATTACTGACACTTGATTTTTTTCTGCTTGAATGAGCTACCATGCAATACTCAGATTTATTTTCTCCATTCTGTATTTCCTCACTGAAGGAAAACTGTCGTATTGTCTTCTCCTGAATCTCTTTCTCAGATACCAAGGTGACACTTTCAACTACTGCTTTCTTTTGTCTAACACGCCTGGGCCCAGGGGTGGGAGGCCTATAGAAGCGAGGTTTGATATTATCCTCAGGGACATTGCTTACATCTAGATCTGCAGAATTGTTCTTATAGATATTACAACTGGCAGTTTTTAAATCAGACTCCGATTCCTTGTCTGACACTTCTGCACTGAGTTGCTGTAATGAGTCTCCCTCTTCTTTATCATAGCTCTTCAAAAATGGAGCATCTTTTCGTTTGACATGTTCTGATACATTTACATTAGATGAGCAGTCTTCCGCATGCATTGCAGAATTGCAAATGGTGGTATTTTTGTCATCAGAAAGGCCAGCACGACTTACAGTGGTTGTCCATTTAATGGTTTCTTCCTCTTTAATTTTGAATCGAACTTTCATTTCCACTGTGATACTGCCATCTTGATTAAGATGAACAGATTTTTTAATGTCATCTTCATACTGTGCCACAGATAAATTTTCACCAGTGATTGACTGATTTCCTCCTATACCATTATGACTGCCAGGAACATAGGAAGAATCTGAGTTGTTATAATTTGAGTTGTTATCATTGCTGGACCCTTTATCAGATGAAACTGAGAATATCCGAGATCTTGAGCTAGAGACCATTTCAGCTCTCACTACTAATAATTACATTGAAAGAACCCAAATTCATTCAGTAGAGGGCAAGTAGAGCAGGCAAATATCATGCATAAGAATCCAGACGGTAAGACACCAGACAGGCAGCAAAGGAAGAGAAAAGAAAAAAGGAGAAATATTAGTACAAAAGAAGCTAATGAAGTGTGTTTGTTTTACCAGACTATTAGAATGTAAAGAAAAAAACATCACTAATCTTGCCGTTCTTTTTAAGAAGTTGTTAGAGAAACATAACCAATTTTTAATAAAGAATCAAGCGTTTAACTACTTTTCCACAATTTTATTTTGCAATGGTTCTTTCTAATGCCAGAGCCATAGTTTTATTTGAAGCTCCAAAGACTAAAAAAGTACTAAATACTCTCATTTTACTTAGTTGGAAGCTGGGGTTGCCTTGAACCTTTCAAATGATCCACAGGCCCTTGCTTCTTTGGGCTGAAAGTTACCAACTTTACTTCTTCTTCTTCTTCTTCATGCCTTTGCGATTATTAATATATAATTTCCTATTAGTTCTTACAGTTAGTGCTAAAATGTGTCAGTCAAGGTGAACATATATCTCCCTGTGCTTAATCCAACAATTTTCGGCATATGAGTAATTACTGTGAGTAGTGTCACTGACACACATGGGAATAAAGGGTTCAGATCCAAGCCCCTGGACTGACCTTCTGTAGAGAAGTAAACACTGAAGCACTTGAACTTCTTATAAAATCTGAATTTAAATCATGACATTCTGAGATATATTTTATACTACAGTACTGTAGACGATGGCACAAAACTCACTAAAGCCAGTGAGAATACTTCCAGACTTCAATGAATTTTGAGTATGGCCCAATATGTGTTTGCATACACACTAAATATTCCCAAAATATGTTTTGATTACTCTGTAATAACTTAGCTTTTAAAAAAATTATACCTCATCTCTCTCTAGCAGTTGTCACTGAAGAGGTGAGACATAAAAGAACATGAGATAAAAATAAAGTTTTGCTGTCTTCCAAGCAGTTCTGCTTGTGCAAGGGAAACAGTGCATGTACACCCACACAAAGACATCCACAACTGCTACCGATACCTAAATATATAGGAGCCACCATTTAATAGAAAGGTTTCACTTGCAGAAAGGTATTTTAACACATGTAATATTAACTTCTCTACATTGCTTGAATTTAAGCAGGTTTTTTTTTTTTCTCAAGTGAGTCACAAATGGTCTCATATCGAGACTTTCACAGTTAACATTATTTTTATAGATACGTGTCTATAATTTCAGGCAGAGTGCCTTGCAAGTTTCCCAAGCATATGCTTTAACATGAATTGAATCAGGAATAAAAGTTTGTGCTAACTCCTCTAAGACAGACCAGACCTTATGCTTCCCAAAGTAAAAATCTCACCTTCTCTGTCTCAGGAAATGGAATTGGAACAAAGTCCCTAAAATTTGATTTTTCAGGCTCTCACATCATCAGTGATGTCTCCTACACAGACTACTTTGAATTTCTCAGGTTAAAGACAAAAAGAAGATTTGTTTTTCCTCTCTCTTTCTGTAATTGCTATTAACTAAGGATCAGAAGAGGGAGCTTATCGGATTCTCACCTACTCACATTTTCTATGACCACAAGGCTCAGTCTCTGACTCAAAGCAAATTTGGGTAAGATTTTTTGTTTCTGCAGAACTTTCATGCTCAAAATGTTCCTACTCATTCTCTCTTGACTCATTAGTTTTGCTCTGTTCAAGTTGTACAAGTCAAAAGAACATGAAGGTTGAGAAAAACTAAAATGAATAGTTTGGTGGGGACATAGTAAACTGTGAGGGATGTGGAAGAAACTCCGTCAAATAAATGGAAGACTTATATATCAATGCACTCGATAACACAGTCAAGATTACTCTGGGAACTCACAGACAGAAACAATTACAGTGTTCCCTGGGCTCTCAGTATACCACGCAGCTGTATTAAGAGTACAAGGTATCTCTGGATTACGCATGTTTCCCCCTAGACGTATGTCTGCCCTACAGGATGCTCTAATGCCAAGGATTCCCACACAACCTAAAGCTCTGGTACTGCGGCATTTAGTTCCCCTCAACTGCAGGCTATTGAGCTAGCCTGGCTTCTCTCCAACAGCTCCTCATGTTCTTGATCATCCACTGGCCACTTCACACTCTTTACTGACCTTGACAGTGGTACAACTCCATGAGTAATCAAAGTACATATTTGCGTATCCTTTCCCAAACTTATCCAAAAGAAACATATATCACAGCCATGAGGATATAAGAAAGAATGACACTGTTTAGATAAAAGCAGCTTCAAAAACATGATGAATTTGTGAGTGGATGGGTGCTATAATGTTTTTCCTGCTCATGTGGAACATGGGACATGGGAAAAACTGAATGGCATAAGTCAAACCTCCACCTGCTAAGGTAAGTTCTGAAAACTGCACAGAAGTTTTGCTCAAGAATTTCAGTCAGTTAAGAGCCTGAAGTAGCCAGCCTGTGGTTTCTTTTTTACCACTACCATTATTAACTGTGACACCAGAAAACTGATAACAATGGCAGTCAAGTGCATTAAAATAAAATATATATATTTGCATCCATGTTCCAAATAAGTCTGTTTGAAAGAAAATATGTGTACTAGCTGAGTACTTAGTAGAAACTTACGTTTTAAAAAGAACATTAACACTTTGATCTTTCTCATGCTTATAGAGGAGTAAAAGCAGATATAAACAGTTTCAACTGGCCTTTTTGAATAAGCTTGACCCTAGTAAGACTGTCATGGTTTATGTCTTATGCTGAGAGAAGTAAACCAATCAATAAAATACAAATTAATTCAAAGAACTTACTATTTTCACTCTCTGACTTGGCATTCGCTTTTGGGTACACACGATTTGCAATTCCAAGCAATTTAGCAGGCCGTGAATACCCAAGAGAATCATAATTGCTTGGTTTAAAAGGCTCTCTCCCTGCTGCGACTACAGCTCCAGAACACAATATCAAGGCCTGAAGATTAGGAACCTGGGAAAAAAAAAAAAAAAAAAAAAAAAAGCAATATTAAATTCTCTGCCTTAGTAACCACAAAAAATAATGTAAGAGATTTATCCTTTTCATACTTTAATAACTTCACTTCTTAGTCTCTACATTAGTTTGCAGCAGTCTATTAAATATGTATCACAGCACAGAATTAATTTTTCAATTCCTATAAGGCAATTCCTATCTCTGTGAGGGTATGTCTTGTTATATAAATATATTCGAAAAAGACATCAAGAAGCAACTTGGATCCAGATCAAAATTTTCTTATAATTTAAGTGTTTGCATATGTAAATTTGTTTCATCATTGCCCAGTGACTGTTCATAGTCATGAAATAAGAATATGCATTTGGAGGTAGGTATACATGTGAACACATATTTGGAGGAAGAAAGGGGAAATTCAGAATACACTATAAGTACTTGACCTGTACTGCCACAGAGGAATAGGACAGAATCACAGAACAATATATGTTGGAAAAGACCTCTGGAGGTCACGTAGTCTAACCCTCTGCTTAAAGCAGGTCTGACCAGAACAAGGTACTTAGAACCTTGACTAACAGGTTTGAATTTATGTTCCAAAATATATTGCAAGATAAGGCTCACAAACTGCACTTCACTGATTTATAGGTGATATGGACAGTTTCCCAGCCTAATACAGAATTTCACCAAATGGCTTTTCCTTGAACTCTCGGAGCTTTGCATAGAATTCTCTTTCTAGATACCTGTTAGGCATAATTACAAGTGCTTTTCTGTGGTTAAACACACAGATAAAATTCGAAGTGAGATAATATTATATAAAAGAGCATGTGAGATGAAAATCAGGATTATTAGTGCTGCACCATCTGGGTTTAGAGGTACAGAACCTGGTCCACAGTTTGAAAACTATAAGACAATCAGTGTCATAATTCCAAGTCATTAATGTCAAACCACTCTGAATTTGTGAAATGAACATGTGGCTATTAGATGCTCCTTATCATATTTTTAAAACATTAAAAATCACAGATAAACAGCATTAAGACTAAAGGAAGTTTCTGTATAAATGGGAAAAAACATAGAATTAAGAGCATGTCCAAAACGGGCCTGAGTAAGAAAAACAAATACTTTTTTTCATGATGCCTTAAAATATAAGATTAAAGAATATTTTCTCCAAGCTAGCAGCCTTTCTGAAGGGAAAAAGCCATAGAAAAGAAACAGCTGAAATTCAGCGCATGAGTTCTTACATCAGGCCAGTATCTCAAACTTATAATTGATAAAATCAAAACTGTCAGTATTTATCTTTTTTCTCACCTTTCTGCCATCAGTTGTATATAGATTCACAACTGGATATTGCATTACCTCACTCACATAATCCAGAAAGGTCTCAAAGGTTTGTGTATTTTTCTTTCCCAGAACTATGGTACGCCTGAGTCTTACATCCCCATTTTTGAAAAAAAACATCTTTTTGGGAGTTGTTATTTTGATCTCTTGAATGCCAAATCGATCTTCATTCTCCCTTGCTAATTTCACAGCTTGACGACGAGTGCTGACAGGCCTACTCATCTGCCAGGGCAGCGGCTTTTTGCTAGCCTGTTCCAGGTTGATGGGCTTCATTTTCCTTTGATGGGAGCAAATATAAGATTTTCCATCTTCAAGATCCTCCAGATTGGTGATGCTGTGTCTCCCTTTCGGTGTACTAATATTCCTTACTCCAAAAGGCAATGGGACCCGTTTGGATAAACTATCCAGCAAGGCATCAAATGTTTTGTAAGAGCGATTATTAATGACCATTTTGATCCCATTAAACTGAGGATCTCCACTTTTATAGAAACAGATCCGTTTTGCCACAACAGGTTCAGTAACATTGAAATGGTGTGTGGATAAACTCTGTTCACTCTCGGAGGAGTTTGGCTGATTCACCGAGTAACTAGTTGAAGGTGTTTCACTCATTTTGACAGCAATCTGGAAGAAAGAGGAGATGGATATAAAACTTTTCTTATGACTAGTAATAATACAGTCTTCATTTTGAAAGGTACAGAAAGAGAATTTATAACAAACCAACAGCAGTGAGTTGTGCCAAAAATCATTGGATTTAAATGGATCCAAGCTGTTATCTCTAAATTCCACAAAGACTCCAGTACTGTTGGATTACGTTAACATAGCTCTACTTGCAAATATTCCCAACACTCTCCAACGTAATTTCAAATCTCTTATAATTTTGGTAAAAGAGACCTTTCCTTTGAAGAGGATACTTTGTCAGTCAGAATGATAATTAGATGTTTTCTTTCTTGAGGATGAAGCTAATGACAACATTTCATATTTAAAATATTAGCAAAATCCTTATAAGGAGGGAGAAATTTGTGCCTAGGCATGAGCTATATTCAGCCCAAAATAACAAAACTGAAAGACAGTACAATTCATTCCGATCTCATATACTAGTTTTATAACAGGGCAAATCCACTGGAGTCAGAGAAAAGGCTCCTGATTTACTACACAGTAAACTATACCAGAATAAGGCCCAAAACATGTTTTCGAGTTAAGTTGTATCATAAGTTAACAGATCATTTACTTTTCTATTATGTTTTATGTCTCATGATAAGAAACCATTACAATATTTGCATTTATACTGAGGAAAAAAATCTACTGATCAGATAAGACTTTTTTTTAGTGAAAAGCCTTTAAATCCTTTATAATGACACAAAAATTTCAGGTATTCCTCAGTAGAAGTAGCCTTTAAATTGGAACATTTAAATATGAGTCTTTTAATCAACAGATTATTTCTGACAATTATATTGATAGTAAACTCACAGATGACACCAAGTTAATCAGGTATGTCGATCCGCATGAAGGTAGGGAGGCACTACAGAGACACTTGGATAGATTGGATTGTTGGGCCAATGTCAACGAGATGAGCTTCAACAAGGCCAAGTGCCAGGTCCTGCACTTGGGCCACAACAACTCCATGCATCGCTACAGGCGTGGGGAGGTGTGGCTGGAGAGCTGTCTGGAAGAGAAGGATCTGGGGGTTCTAACTGACAGCAGCTGAACATGAGCCAGAAGTGTGCCCAGGTGGCCAAGAAAGCCAACGGCTCAGAAAGTAATTGTCGATTTCAACCTGTATGTTTGAAGTGGCATATCTCAGCTCAGACTAAAATTTATTAAATGAAATAAAAACCATTAGAATCAACACATTTTTGCCAATGAGAAACAAGCTTATTTATCCCGGTTGCATAAAATTCTGGACTTCTGGAGGCAATGAAGTTATCGAAGGCAGTTTCAGCCTCCCCTTGGTTCCTGAAGTGTCTCCCGCACAGGAAGCTGTTGAGATGCTTGAAGAAGTGATAGTCAGTGGGCAAGAGGTCTGGTGAGTACGGTGGATGAATTAGAGTTTCATAGCCCAGCTCATTCAACCGTTGCAGCGTCGAAAGTGCAACGTGTGGCTGCACGTTATCGTGGAGGAGGATTGGACCCTTTCTGTTGACCAGTGCTGGGTGCAGCCGTTGAAGTTTCTGGTGCATTTCATTGATTTGCTGGATGTACTTCTTCGCCGTGATTGTTTCACCTGGATTCAGGAAGCTGTGGTGGATTAAACCAGCAGCAGACCACCAGACAGTCAGCATGACCTTCTTTTGGTGCAGATTTGGCTTTGAGAAGTGCTGCGGAGCTTCATCGTGGTCCAACCATTGAGCCAATCGTCACCGGTTATAGTAGAGCATCCATTTCTCATCGCATGTCACAATACGGTCGAGAAACGGGTTGTTCTGGTTGCAAAAACTAAGAGACGATGACACTTCAAAATGGTGATTTCTGTGATTCTCATTCAATTCGTGCAGCACCCATTTGTCGAGCTTCTTTGACTTTACAGTCTTCTTCAGATGCTCAGAAACAGTTGATATGCTTACCTTGAGTTCTTTTGTAAGTTCTCGAACAGTTGTGCGTGTATCTGCTTCCACCAGAGCCTTCAATTCATCGTCGTCAATAGCAGAAGGACGTCCGCGACCTTCTTAATCTTCAAGGTCAAAATTGCCACGTCGAAATTTTTGGAACCAAAGTTGCACTGTCCATTCGTTAACACTTCCCTGGCCATATACCTCATTGACGTTTCGAGCAGCTTGCGCTGCATTACGTCCAAGTTTGAACTTATAAAAGCAGATCTGTCGAAATTGCTGTTTTGACATCTGAACTTCAAACCTCAAAAATTTGTCAAAAACGCAGTTTATATTATAATTTAATTATACAGCGTGAAAGTTCATAACATGAGCTTTTCAAAAATATATAACAGTACACCAGTTGAGAAGGTACTATTCCTGAAACATATACAATGAAAATCACATTACAAAACAGAAATTAATTTCCGAACAGCCTAATATTAGAAATAGTGTGACCAGCAGAAGTAGGGAGGTGATAGTCCCCCTGTACTCTGCACTGGTGAGGCCACACCTGGAGTGTTGTGTCCAGTTTTGGGCACCTCAATACGAGAGAGATATCGAGGTGCTGGAGTGAGGGCAGAGGAGGGTAACACAGCTGGTGAAGGGCCTGGAGAACAGATCTTATGAGGAGCAATTGAAGGAGCTGGGACTGTTCAGTTTGAGGAAGAGAAGGCTGAGGGGAGACCTCATCACTCTCTACAGCTACCTGAAAGGACATTGTAGAGAGGTTGGTGCTGGTGCCTTCTCACAGGTGATTAGTGACAGAACAAGAGGGAATGGCTTTAAACTCTAACAGGGGAGGTTTAGACTGGACATTAGAAAAAAATTTTTAACAGAAAGAGTGGTCAGACAGTGGAATAGGCTGCCCAGGGAGGTGGTGCAGTCACCATCCCTGGATGTGTTTAAGGGTCGTTTGGATGAGATGTTGGGGGATATGGTGTAGGGGAGAACTTTGTAGAGTGAGGCTGATGGTTGGACTCAATGATCCCAAGGGTCTTTTCCAACCTGAATGATTCTATGAATCTTCATGCTTGAAACCAGTGCACTCTCATTACAATCTTTCCATTTCAATCTAATCTATATACAGATACAGTAATGACAACCCTTTAAATGAATAAAATCACTTTATCTTAATGATTGCTTTGACTGGAACATGGAGTAGAAATGGCTAGTCAACTAATCAGCCTCAAGGAAGCAGTTTTAGTAGAGTTTTACTGAAAATCTGTATAGCAGTCTCAGGGAATCAAAATAATATAAATTAAATTCTTTGACAATGTCACCTTGATGTAGCTGACATATTGACTAATGGAACAATCTCTTCTGGCTACTGCATATATTTTTAATGAATCTATGGAAAATGATATTTTGACTATTTTAGTACTACATACATCAGCTCTGAAACTGATAAGAAAATGTTATTTTTCAAGACAGTCAAGGTTCAAACAAAGTCATATTTGACAAGGTTTTATCTTGCTGTATTCCTACAGCTTTTCCAGTAATGCACTTTTTTCAGCTTGGGTGTTTTGCCTTCACTAAGAATTAATAATTTTTTAAATGTTCATTATTTTAAACAATGATCAGAGAACAGGAAGAAATGTCTCCTTTTAATACATTATATATGCTGTAAATTGTACTCATTTGAAATGCTAAAACTGAAAAATAACCAAACAGGTCTGTAAGGTACATTCTGTACCAGAATTATGTACACAAAGATCAATTTAAGTAATCACAATTCCATTTAAAAAAAAAAAAAAAAAAAATTAAAATGTAAAAACCCTCCAATCTGTAGCTATTTCATTAACGGATATGCAGGAAGAAATTGTCAAGCCTGGCTGCAGCAATTTATACAAACCAGTCCATGACCAGTCCATCTTTTTTTGACACATCTATTCATTAGCTGCCTAAATTTTCATTACACTTCTAAACTGAGAGGTTGACAGGTGAGTTAAAACTAGGGATACAATTTGAACCAGCCATTTTATGCTTCATGTGCCATTCTGTTTATACCCATATTCCTAGGGGAAATCCATAAGGACATTTTTATTGCTAGGTGCAATACAGACTTTCCTACTCTCTTTGCAGAGCAAATATTCTACTCCAATAAAAGCAGCAATGACAGTAGTAAAGTTCTTGAGTGAACTGAATATCATGTTACCCCATTTAACTGGTCAAGAAGACTTGAGCTCGCTGAGTCCAGTTCAGGATCTCTAGGGAAGGTGAGAAAACTCCTACGTCATCATCTTTAATAGCCACAGACAGAAATGAACAGATATAGAACCTCAGCTACTCTGTACTACACCGTGTCACCCTTTATGAAAATGGAGTGGAATTTCATCTAACTGTATGATTATTCACTCTTACAAGAGATAAAATACATGGATTTTCTCAGGAGACTACAGATTGAATTAGCCTCTAAGAAGCTGCTCTGAATATTTGTACTTGTGTAAAACATTCAGTTGTGTAAGCATCAACATTTGGAAGAGAAATACAATACATTTTACATAAAGATAAACACTAGACTGAGTCTCGATACTGTGGAAGTAACAAAACCCAAACCGAAGAGAGAATACACATATAAAGAAAAAAGACAGTTTTCATTGTAAACATGAAATAACTTGAACCCACAAAAGTAATTGAGAAAAAGTTTTCCTTAGCAAAACATTAATGACAAAACAGAACCGATAGTTGTATAGCACACCACGTATGAAAGAACCGATGGTTGCATAGCATGCCATGTCTGAATGCTTTCTAGTATTAATTTTAATCGTGGAAATCACTTATGCATCTTTCAGTTACCTTATAATTGCACCTTACAAACAGCAAACATTTCAACAAATGAATAATCAACATATTGTAGAAACTACTGTTGCATATTTCAGGTAATCACACTGTAATGTCTTCATTTTACGTTAAACATAGTATCGATTTTCATACTTAAATTATTTTATTCTAAAATTAAGAAATAGCTCATACTGCATGATACAGACTGTCTATTAAGATATTCTGGCAATTACAACATTAAAAATTTTATTCTGCAAGATAAACAAATGGAATCCAGGATTGAATCCCTTTGCCTGCATTCTCATAAACAAAACCACTCATTCAAAGTTTATGCACAAAGCTGCTGGAATTTATAAAGATTCTAAGTGGAACACTTTGTTCTAAACATATAAGAATATGTCTAATGCCATACAGCTGGTAAGTATTGCATATAATTTCATCATACTCACCCACAGTCACGTCCTATGTAAATAAAAGAGTAGTTAGCTTGTTCTCAAAGATTTATAAATTGTACATGTGATTGTCTATGCCATATGAAATGAACATCCTTAGTCTTATTACAAGTGTGATCAGCTAGAAAAAAAAAAAAAAAAAAAAAAAAAAGGCATAATCCATTTGCTTAATCTCAGCTAATGTTAATCACAAAACCAGGTTCACCTCAAGTAGCCATTGTTCAGAGCAGTGACTAACATCTCATTCAGCAAGTCCTCTTATATTATTTTTTTAACTCTACTTACCTTTTAAATATTTAATTCATATAATTATCTGTTTACTTAGATTGCTCAAGAGACTCATAGAACCACACAAAATAAAAATGTGGGTGGGGAACATAGGCCATCCAATCTATCTTCTTATCGGTGTAGGGTTGTCCTCCAAACTAAATTTTTTAGTGATGTAAATTTTAAACATGTTAAAATGGAGCTTATACCACTCACATTCTGAGACTATTTATTAAACATCTCCTGGCATTAATTCTTGCTTTTGCTCAATTGTTTGATCAAGATAGCCCTCTGTGTTAAAGACTCTCCCATATTTTCTCTATTCAGAGATCACAATGTAAACTGTTCCACAGTTTCTTTCAGGACACTCAATAAAACATCACAGTCTGAAGGAGTTTCTTCATCCATGAGGTATTCTTCATTTCAACATGCTGGAAAAGGGGCAATGCAATGATTATCAATATGTGTGATTACAGTTCATGAAGAAACAGGATTACATCTAACTGTAGCTTAATTATACCACAGAATGTGGGGGTTTTTTCTTTTTCCATTGGAAATACTATGTCCCCAGATAGTAACTGTTCCATCTAATCGCTACCAGATGTATAATCTGATTTAGAGCTTCTTTGCTTAATCAGGATTACAGCAAGCTCTCAAAACTGGCTGTATAGAACAGTAACAAGAACACCACTCAGTAGACAATACCACTGCATGCCATAATGAGTTTCAACTATTTTCCTTAGTAGAGAATTCAATGTTTATAGAACTATTAAAATACAACTTCAGTTCCACGTTGAAAAGATGCATAGGCATAAACATTAAATGACAATCTTGCATAAATATTTTGCTATAAACATTGCCTTAAATATTAATTTAATTATTTAGGTCCTTAACCTATTTTAGCTAATATACTGCTTATATTCCAGTCAGTATTCTGTTGTTTACACTTGTTCAGAAGATGGACAAGTGCAAATTCTATGTGTTATTCTGACGTCTTATAACTTAACCACTTACAAAGGAATTTTTATAGAGCTGGTTTTCTTTTTTTTCTTTAAAAAAAAAAAAAAATCAGGATTTAAAATATCACTGCTACCTCCATTAGCTTTCCAGAGCATGCAAAGCCACTTTCGATAACCAGTTAATCCATCAGTAGCTTCTGCATGCCACTAGAATTTGAGACCCAAGAGATAATACTTCCGGGACCTGGTGATGATAAACAAGTGTCACCACTTGATGGTGTGAATGCCCGTTAATTCTCTAAGACTTCAAAAGGCTTACAAAGCTTCTGTCCTGACATATGTAAATTAAAAGCTCCACTGTGTTCCTTCTTGTACCGCAAACACTCCATATATTCCGAAAATATGGAGGAAATTGACAATTTTATAGTAAAAATAGAAACAATAAACTTTATGTTTAATTTAGACTTAAAGACAACAAGCCACAGAAAATTATCACAGTCCTACAGCAATCAATATCAACACAAAACCACTTTTCATCCATTCAAGTGAGCAGCTTGATTGACATACATGGAACTGCTAAAATGATGTGATAATAATTTAACCTTCATATTTGGGGAACAGTTGTTCTTTTTACATAAACCAATGGGAAAAAAAAAAAATAAGAGTATAAAGTTGGTCCAGAAAATGTAAGAAGGCAAAATCAAGCCACATGAGAAAACGTACCAGTGATTAAAATTGTAATTGCAAATAGGATTACAATTTTCTGGGTTGCTGTCATTCTCACTCTTAAATTGCATGCCTGTTTATCTCCAGATATCTTCAGTTCTCAGCTCTGATACTAAACATTACCTTTATTCTAAACTTGATATCCCTCTTAGTCCTATTTTTTTTGTAAAGGTTATTGACTGGTCAATAGCTGAAATAATGACCATATGTCTGTGAGGCAGTCACTAACCCCAGTTCTTGCCTTTCACTTTTCAGAGAAAAGCTCAGGTTTGGCTCCTTGTGAATGCAGTGACAGACAAGGACAAAGGTTCTACTCCAATGCCCACAGGCATCAGTGGGAGTTTTCCTTCCGATTCCCCTAGGAGTGTGTCCCCTAGGAAGACAGTGGCATAGAGACAGCCAGTTGAAGGTCCAGTACCTGTAGTTAACCAGCAACACCATTCCATACGGCAGAAGGCCCAGGTCAAGCACCCTGCAGTCCCTGGTCTGAACCCAAAGCTCACGTGAAAGTTTTCAAAGTCAAGAGAAAGTTTCTGACTCCAAAATTCTTTGCACCGGCCCAAAAAGTACAGCACCAAAATAATCGTAAAAAAAATATTTTTATCATAATTCTTTCTGATTTTGATTAATTATTCCTCCCTTTCAATGAACTTTGCTTTAGTAACTGAACTGATGACAAGTAACTAAATATAACCTAACACTTTCCACCTCATTCTACAAGTCTCCTGTGTTTCTCAAGATCAGCATCATATCCAGGAAACTGATGCCTGAAAAAGAAAAAATATGCTAGCAATTACATTATCATGTTTGCTGATATATTCCTTTTTCCTTAGCAGATAACCAGCATCCCAGGTTGAGAAACATAAGCAGACTTTTCTGCAGCATTAGCCTGAATCAGAGCAGGGTCAGAACTGTGTGGGATGTGGCCTTCCCTGCCCGGCAATCCTATGGCCCTTGAATGACACCCTTTGTTTAAATCAGAGCCACATGGAACAGCAGTTAACACTTGAGTATTTTTATCATTCAAGCGTGAGTCACTTCTTTAAAACGGGCAGTTGCTACACCAGTTAAACTATTACTGTTGACCTCATGCCTCAAGAAAATGCTGATAATGTGCCTTATATTTCCAAGTCCCTTCAACCTCTTAAACTGCTGCTTTTATTTTTTTAATTGAACTGCTCGGTAAGGTATGGAACTAGAAAACTGCTGTCAAGCTAAAAAGGAAATTATCACATTAGAAGCAGGGGCCGGGGTCAAGTTCCCTTCAGTGTGCCCAGCCTGTTTACATCCTTTCCAGTAAAGCCTTCCAAAAAATGTGCCACTAGTAATATGTTACTACTGATAAGATTTTGGGCCATTGCATTACAACAGCATTTTAGTGTTCGATATACATGAACTTCTTATCAAGTTAATCCCCACAGACTTTTATTTTAAATTCTCCAACATAGATTTGATATCCAACAGCTGGGGATGCGGAATGAGAAAAAAATGAAGTGGTATGCCTCTGGGGAGGAAAGCAAAACAAAACCAGAGCCCTGCTTTTAAGAGAGCTCTGCCTGGATGGTTAGATGGACTGCAAAAACTCCTGTTTGAGCAGTTCTGGGTTCTGACCACCACTAAATTGAAATAAAATCTGAATGCCTGTTTGTGTTCAGAAAATAGCTTCCTATGGGAAATTTCTGGCCTGGCAGAAGTACAAATTGACCTATCATCTTTAAATGGGTTAGAATTTTATTCCGGAGTATACAGCTTGTCTCAGAGTTAAATGCATAATCATTTTCAGCTTAGTTTTCCTTATTTTCTTGCCTCAGGTGTATTTTACCATCTACACTTGCTCTCTGTTCCGTAAGATAGACTAGCTGAAGGGAAGGGTCAGCCATATTTTCATTTTTTCTGAGTATGGGTATCTGAAAAAAGAGACACCCTAGACTACATTTCAGTTTGTTTGTATTACATCTACATAATTCTGTACAGTGATATGTGAATGCTTACAGAGCATCTTGAATTCTTTAAACTGGAAAAAGACTGACTAGAATTTTTTTCCTATCCCTTAGTTTTCTTCTCCTACAACATTTCAAATTTTTTTTTCCTTGAATATTTGTCTTCATGATCCTCCCATCCCTTTTGCCAGTTTAATAATGCAGTCACCTGTACTGACCTTAACACACAATGATTTGTAAAAAACAGTTATGTTACAACTAGTTGCAGATCTAATTGGTGCTGCCAGTTCATTAAATTCTTCTGTGTTGGTTAAAAAACTCCTATGTGGACCTTAATGCTTTACTGAAAATTTCACTCATTAAGACAGTAAAGTTATCACATGTTCTTTTTTTATACTCTTTTAACTTCCTTGTACTTTTTACCAATCTGTTAATCGATAACTATAATTCTTTTCATCTCCCAAAGAGCATGGTCAAAGAAAAGAATTAAGCAGGCAGCACATGAGTTCTCTGGCCAAGCCATTATCAGTTTACCTTGAAATTTAACCCCATGTGCCTCAGTTTGTCTATCTGAAATTCTGTGCAATGACCTTGCCAACTTTCCTATATCATAGAGACATTGTGAAGCATGAGCTAAAGAAACTTCATGAAGCTCCAGCAGCATAAATGACTGAGGGACAGACCTTTTGGTTCCTCCTGGAGGACACCATAAAAACCTTTGCTGGGGTCTGGTGTTATTTCCTTGGAGTTCAAAGAATGGTTTTAGAGAGCGTGAGTTCATAAATTGAGGACAAAGGAAAAAGACAAGACTTAGACATATTATACAGCTTTGCCTCCTATGAACACTTTAAACTCTTTGATCAAAATTTACATCTTCAAACACTTACTCTGATCTGCTGCCTGCTTCTGTAGGTGTCCAGGCGCCTGAGCCTCCTAAATCGCTATCAGTACAGCTTTGCTGCCAGGCACGTGTACAACCATTCCATCTCTGACAACACTAAGCTGCTTAATGTCTTAGCTTTTAGGGCAATGCACAGCTCATTCTCTCCATCTTGCCTGAGGAAACCTGACTGTCGCCTCTTACAGCCCCGGCAGCAAGCTGTTGCTGTCCTCCATTCCTCTGGGTAGTAGGCAAAGAGCTCTCTCACCACTCCAGTGGTCCAGTTCACTGCCTGTTTTGGAGCAAGGATTTAAATCCGTATATCTCAACTTTCAAGACAGTGAACTAGATCAATGCTCCTCCTCCTATCTAAGTTTTGTGTAAGAAAAGGCTGAGATGTGTGTATCTAATTCCACAACAGACTTCATAGCTACAAATGCCCAGTGACGAGACACACCTAACTTTAAGCCTGGCTTTAGATACCTATTTCTTTGACAGACATGGAAATAGTATAAAAAATGGACCCTGATCTAAAGATCCTGCATCTGCTCAGGATTCAAGAGCTGAGATATCTAACTCAAACCTGATGATGCCTGGAGGAAACAAGCCAACCACCCCTATTGTTGTATCACTGTGCCTGAATCCCCAGAATGAGTCTAGTATACTCAAGTTGTGTTAACTGTAGGTGCAAACAAAAGATCTGAGAAAATACAGGTACTACTATATTTGACTGTGACACTTGCAGTACTAGATGTAAAAAATGGAGCTGAATGCCTGTTCCTAAAATCAACCCATGTTTCCCACACTGTTTTAAACCTGAAGACGGTTGCCACTTCTATTACTGTAGCCATCCAGTTTATTTTGTTTGCCCCCTTCTGGATTTATTTTCCCTTATATACAAATGGTATAATTAGCTATTTCTGCATATATATGTTTGTATCTCAGTAAATCAAGATACACATACACACACCCACCCGCTCTGCACGCACACACAAATTCTACTCAGATATTTTCTACTCAGTTACTTTTATATCCTTTCGATTAAATTAACATTTTCCACTGTCTTGATTGTATATTCACAGACCTGTTGTTTCCCTTTCATTTTATTATGATTTGGAAGTACATTCATCTAAATTCCCCCACATGCAGGGCTGGTCGTTTAACAAAGGACTGACTTTATACATATATTAAATTTTTAGCCAATTAGATACATGATTTTTTTTTTATTTTTTTTTTTTCCTATGAAGACATCCAGCCTGTATTTCTGCATTGTATTTTTGGCATAGTGCCAGTTTCTAATCTCAAATAGTACTAGAAAGTGAGATTAGATAGATAAAGACTTTTGGACATATGCTCAATTAAAAATAGAAAGGTGATGTCCACCTCCTTCAAAAATAATCAAACCATATTAAGTGTTATTACTACCAAATTTCCATCTATCAATCTTTTCCTCTATCTAAATGAAGCCTCAGATGTTCTCAACATAATTTTTTCTACA